CCTTTCCTTCGCTTCCCTTTCCCTTTCCTTCCTTCTCTGTACCTTTGGATGGATGGTTTTATCGGTTGGAAAGTAAGTTTACCCTTTGGAAGGGTAATTTTACCCTTTGGAAGGGTAGTTTTGCCCTTTGGAATGGTAATTTTACCCTTTGAGGCCTAGGGCGAATCCCCTTTTTGTTGTTTGCGGTTTGTTTTACGTTTGTTTGTAGGGGGGGAATTGGCTAGGGCGCCAACTGTGTTGGCGAACACACCATGACCCTAAACCTTCACCCCACTGTAGTCCGCGCACCCCCCTCCGCGCTTTTTTTTGGGGGGTCTCCAACAACCCCCTGGCGCTGATCGTGTCCGACCATCCCGCCTGCCACTGGGCACCAAACCTCCAGGGCCTTTCAGTCGCCAGTTTTGTGAGGACCAGGCGCGGCGCAGGGCCAGGTCCACCGTCTCCTGCAGCTGAAGCCAGGTGAGTGGAGACGGGCGGTGAGTGGTGCGTGGTGTGTGGTGCCCGGTGCCACGTGGTGCGCATGCACCAGGCAGCGTTGATACAGGCCAGATCCCCACCAAAATGGAGCAGATAAAGGCTGCCCAAAGTTCATCATGGCTGGCATGCCTAGGGAATTCAGGCCGAAGTTCAGTTTAAACCGTTTTAACATGTTACATCTTTCAAAGGTTGGGGGGTGGTGGTTCTAGGGTTGCTTTCCAATCTTCTTCAGACCCAAGAACAAGTCAAACACGCAACCTGTGAGCATTGCTTCAACTTGTGCATGCATCAAAACCTGTGGGACAACTCAACAAACTCAAACGTCTGTGGATGATACGGATGTTCCATCTGCTCACATCCTGTCGCATACAACCTCCACAAAAATCTAAGAGGGACCTCAACATCCTCAACTGTGACCCTCCACTACAATCTGTAACATGAGGATGGGTCATGGCACCTATAGCCTTCCACCATGTACCGAACGAACAATTGCCTTTTTTCAATGGGTTATAGGTATACGTTCCCTAGGGATCCAAGTACCTCCTCAAAAAGTACTTGGACACTCCAAACCCACCCCAAACACCTTCTCAGAGGGTACTTGGATCCTTAGGGGTTCAATGTCCTGGTGCCATGACCTGCCGCACGAACTGGGTCCTCGGCCGTCCCCGGGGGGTCCTGCACCGAGGCGTCCTCGTCCTCCGGGCACAGGCCCTCGCACAGCGCGTGGAAGGTACGGAGACCCCGGCGGTAGCAGTCGGAGCAAATGTGCGCCTGGAGACGGAGACGGAGACGTGCGGCTGAAGGGTGGAGATGGTGGACCGGTTTTAGTCTTGAAATGGTTGATTTAAATGGACCAGGGTTGAATAATTAGGTTGGTTCAGGTTCATGCCAATGAAGAATGGTGTATATAGCTCAATTGTCCGGGTATGTTCTTAGCCTCCCAAGATCTCCCAAGAGGTAAACACTTCAACATTGAAATGCGTCGTGATGGTTTCATCACGCGTAGTAGCTCCCCAGAGAAACTCTTGTACCAAGGTTATATATAGTCATTATTGATATTTTTATATATCAGTTTCAATCCTGACGCCTGGTCATTCTCTCTTGTACTTCTTCCCTGTCCAGGACCATCCAAATTGGTGCTTGGGAAAACATGCATGACTTTCATTCCCTAGGGCTCCAACCACCTCCTGAGAAGATGGTTGGGGTGGGTTTGGGGGGTCTAACCACCTTCTGAGGATATGGTTGGAGCCCTAGGGTTTATACGAACTACCTCCTGTCGATCTGCTTAGACCCAAGGGTTTCTGATGTCACAGGGTAGAAGTGGGCTTGAGATGCGACAGATTGGAGCTTGGCTTGCAAAATCATGGACGGATATAGGGTGTTTGATGGTTATTGTTGATGTTGTTGTTGTTGTTGTTGTTGTAAGCTTGGCATTGAGACAGATTCCAAAGCACTTGGAAGGTCCAACGGTCCCTTCGGCCGGTCCGACAGTCCGAGGTGCGCAGGTGCCATGACCGTGACCAGCGAACTGGGACACGGCCGCGAACTGGTTGAACAAGCTAAAAGGGTTTGGCATCAACCGTTCGCATGCTTCGGCGCAAGATGAAAAAGCAAAACAAACAGTGGTAGTCATAGCAAATTCCATAGACTTGCCTCATTGGTAGTCATAGCAAATTCCATAGACTTGCCTCATTGGATCTCATTGGTTCATCTGGGTGAGACTCTAAGAATGCACTGCCTCTCCCCCCGAGCCGAAAACGTCACCAGCTGGGGCACCACACCGACCGACAACCGTCGCCCTTTTGGCATCGACCTCTGTTGTAGAGGCGGCACCTGAGGATGAACGACCCTGGGGGGATGGGTAGGGTTCGGTACGGATGCGATGGGTGCGTGGTGTTGGTGTGCTTTGGTTTTGAAAGAAAGAGCACCTCACACCTCCATATATGCCGCATTCAAAAACATGTTCCCAAAAAATACCAACCATGATATGTTATAATAATATATATACTTTTTATACTATACTTATACTATACACTTATAATTATAGGTAAACCTTACATTGACCCCTCAAACTATACTATAGGTCAACATGCCAGTCAAAACACTCCAAGCTGAGAAAATGCATCCAATATTCAGGATCCTTAAGGAACCGGTTCGGCCCATGCTCAAGTGCAGGAAACAAATCAAACATCAGGAGTCAGGAGTAAGCTGTTTATGATCATTCAAGAGTTGGGTTCATCAGGCTTCGGCCCAGGAGCATTCACAAAACAAACGTGGGTTCAGCACCCTCCAAGACATCCAAAAACGGCGCCCGCAAGCCAGGCCCGCTTAAACCGCTGGTCCTGCGGCCGTCGACGAGTGAAAAACCGCTCGTGGTCGAGCGGCGGCCCGGGCAGCGACGGCGGCGCGAGCTCAGCGGGTGGAGCAAGGGCAGCGGCGCTTTTCGCCTGTGCCTCTGGGAGAGGAAACCTGAGGACTCACTGGAGTGGAACCCATGGAACCCTCAAAAAAACGGACGCTTGTTGAATCAACGAGTGATCAGACAAACACCAAGGCGGTGATCCTCTTCTAAAATCCAAGAAGCCTCCACCTGACAGGTGGGGGAACCTGAAAAGGGACAAATTGTTTGTACTTTGCAGATTCTGTCTTGCATCTTGAACAGAACGGGGAGGCGTTGTTGGCATTTACTTTTTGCGATGGAAGACAATGTCACCTCACATCAGAGTGTTTGGGAGGGTGGCGTTGGCATAATAGTAGGAGGGACCAGTCATCCACGGGGTCCCTACACCAATGCCCTTCTTAGGTTTTCTTAGAGGGCGTGTGGATACCAAGCAACTGGCTTTGATCCGGCTCAACCATCCCTCCAAGGGGGTGCTTCCAAGGAATTCGCTCCTGGAGGGAGTCTGGGGTCTCAAACCCCTAGGTTGAGGGCTGTTTGGAGCTCAAAAGACCCCTGGAAAGACGCCAAAAGACCTTCAATCTCTGAGATTTCGTTGAGGAAGCTTAGTGATTTGGAACATGTACCAATCACATCCAATCACCCTGCTTCTTCGCGGTTCCAAACAGGGTCATACCCAGAACTATACCCAAACCATCCATGCATCACCCCAACCGATCGGCCAATCACCCCCGTCCCAGAGCGTCCGGGTTCTGGTCCTGCAGCTCCACGACATTGGACATCAACCGACCCAGCTTAGCTCCCATGCCTTCTCCCTAGGGATCCAGTCGTACCTCCTCAAGTTCGGTACGACTGGACCCGAACATGGCACCCACCTCAGTCCCACCGAACCTCAGAGGGTACGACTGGATCCTTATAGGGTCTACTTCCACCCGACTGTCCTCACAACCTCCACAGCGCCCAACCTGCCAACCGTACGCCCCGCATCGCCCCGCATCGCCCCGCCTGCCAACCGTTGAAGCGAGTGCCCAAATAGGAGAGGTCCAAAATGATCTTGACTCTGACCTCGGCTGCTCCGCCGCTCCGTTCTCTTCTTGCGGCAAGGAGAGAAGTGTTCAGTGTTCCTCCCAAGTTAAGTAGGTGAGTGAACACACAATGGTGAAACCATGCAAAATTCCGTTGATTTAGTCTCCCCTCATCTTAAAAGCAACGGACAATTTTTACCTGCTTTGCTTCCTTCAACATCCCCCAGGCGGCTAATCCCGTGTTTTCTGCTTTCCTTTCCAAGCTACCATGTCGTACACAGGTCGACAGTAGGCGCAGCTGCCGCCATGGCTGCAGCAATGTAGTGTTTTTGTGTTTGCTAACTTGTCATCTCAAGCTTCATTCTAGATTCCTGACAACTCTAAAACCAAAAGCAAAAAATATATGTATATAGTTATATATATGTTTATTTCTATGTATGTACAATATAACAAAACACAAAAAGTTGTGACCCTTTCTTGCCCTGAACCTCAACATGGCGACATCATGACAGCTCAATTCATGTGTCTGTCACGTGTCATGTGACGTGTCATGCGACGTGTCAGAGGAGCTCCCAAAAGCTCTGCTGCGAGAGTCGGAGCTGCTCTGGTGACTCGCTCTGCACCATCAGCCACGGGGGCTAGTTCACCCATGAAACCTGGAGATTTTTGAATTGACTGGATTGGATGGCGCAACAGAAACAGCAAAAACTATTGGGTCCTAGCTGTCCTTTCGTCGACTGAGAATGGATCCGCGGTCTTCAGACCGACCATGTCCCGGTTTCGCGCGGAGCGAGCGAAAGGCGCTTTCGGTCTGTGGTGGAAGCTCCAGTTCGGTCGAGACCGCTGCGATGTCTGTCGATGGCAGGTCATGTCCAGCACTGCAGGTCATGTGGTTTGCTTAAACCTGTACGCTACTCTGATCCTACCCTGTCTTCTCAGCGACATCCATGCAACAAACTCTATGACTCACGGCATTCTGAGCCCATTGGGCCCTTTCACTTAGATCGCAAAAGGAACGCCGCCTACATTCATCCCAAGAAAGGCAGGCAGCGGCTGCCACTGCCACTGCCAGGAACAAATGCTAGTACTGAGGCTCCAGCTTCAAGGAAGAAATAGTAGCTCGCGGCGGTGCAACGCATCTGGATGCAGAACGAGGCCATGAGATGTAAACGCATTGCAGCACGCATCAACGCATTGAATTTGCGCCAAGTTCACGAGGTGTCAAAAAGAACAATCCCGGGAAGTTCTCCTTGAGATCAACCCAGGAGGAGGCGTTTTTTGGAACCAAATATCTCAAGGATGATCCTCCAGATAGGTCCCAACCCCTCTGATATCCTCTGGTTCTTACAGACTATTTGACCCTAAGTGCTTTTTGGATCTTTTTGCCCAGTGGGGGAAGTGGACGCATTGGGCATGCCCACATCTGTGTTTGTAGGTAGGCTAGATTATGACATTCCCCCAAACCAAGAACCCTCCTCTTGAACCTCTCCGATCATAGGGCTATGAAAGCTATGACCTGCTCTGGCATTGCAATTCAATGCTACTCCTACACGTGCTAGACACATCTGGCACAGCTTGCTCCACCAAAAAGGATCTTCAGCCTGATCAACTCCTACTCCATCTGGCCCAACGTCAAGGCCGACGCGAGCAAAGAAAGGGCCAGTTCACTTGGCAGAGCATCCCGAACAGAATCTACACTCTTGATGTACTCTTGATTCACATCCCGGGCGTACGTGTTCCGTCGCGTACGTTCCCCCACTTTAGGCGTCAGGCATACGTTCCCCCTATTTGCCAGGAAATCGGAGATGGCCTCGTTCCGAACCCATACCCACTGCGACCATTCTTTGAGGCGAGCGTGGAGGTTCTTCTTTGGTTCGACAAAAGAGCCGTCGCGTCGCGTTGTGCAACGGACAATCGAAGGAAGGAAACCAATTCTGTGAACACCATCCCCGTCCTTGGCTCCAAAATAAAAGCTCCAGACTCTGGGGACAGTCTGGAGAAATGGATCATGGACTCCAAATGCAGTTCCAGTATCCACCCCTCCAGCTCCCAACCCATCCAGCTGTGTGTTCAGCCTCTTCATTGGAGGGCCACACCTGCATAGAGACCTGGGGGATTCAGCAGAATTCTGGCCAAACTGGTCTTGGGAAGATTATCTCTTGAAATTGGAGATCTGCAAACGGGTCTTCAGTGATCTTCACAGGTGAATTGATGGGTGTGGACACATGGGGAGTTAGGGCCTAACAGATCTCTCCAAGAACCGACCCTTCACTGCAAAAAGACTGGATCTACACTCCTTGGAACGGCTCCTTGGATGACCATGATCCTCTACAAACAGGTCGTTTTCCACGTCCGTGATTCTTCCAGGGAGTGCAATTTCAAAAGCCAGGAGAGACTGGAAGGGAAGGACCAAATCTCTTGAAAGACAAGCGCATCTTCTCGGGAAGGAACATGAATTGGGGCGCTGGCAATGCAGAGTTTATGGATAATCGTTCTCCTTACATCAAGGAGAACAGTCAGAAAATGGAGTATGCTGCTTGTCAGCTTGTCTGAAACCCAAGGCCCTCAACGAGAATACACCTGCATTCAATCTAGTTGTTTTTGGGGTTGGCTCGGCAAGCACTGGAAAGCACTGGTCGGCTGTCCTCTACGAAGTGGGGTGCCGTAGCTAGCGAACCATTGTTGAGTCATGTCCCTTTGAGCTGGCCAGAACCAACTCACTCTAGCAACATCTCTGTCTCCGCATCTCGGTCGCAGTCGAGCAATTTCATCGTCCGCTCAAACTTTGGCAAACACAAAGAACACCCAAGCTATGTTCAGATCTTCCAATGTCGGCTGTCGGCTCAAGTATGTTCAGCAGCTACCAGCGGAATTCATGTGACCAATCTATGCACCAAAGCAATGGTGGACTCGACATGAGTATGTCCAAAAAAACATAGAAACCAACAGGAATCTGATACCACTCTTATCCGCTCTTGATTTCATGAACTTGTGTCTTATTTATGTTAGTTTTTCTCATGACTCCACTTTAGCCCAATGCATCCCGCCAAAAAATAGACTGGGCTGCACCTTCCTGTTTTTGTTTGGAACAGACATCTGATATTCTGTTGATTTTGCTTCGATGATCTTCGATGTTTTTTGAAACGGATCCGCCAGGACGTCCACTTCTATAGGACTGGAGACCCTCTCCATCCGACCACCTGAGCACGACCACGTCCGAGGCCGGCGCGATGAGATCCACGCTCCTGACGAGCGAAAGCGCGCGCGGAGCGTAGCACGGGGGGAGTCAGAGCCAGGAGCCAGGGGTAGGCCAGGACAACATCTGGATTCCGGAATGAATCGCCCCTAATTCGTGGACAAGCCGAACAAAAACACGGTTTTGGGGGGAGACCTGGGAAGGAGGGTCCAGTTATCAACAAGTTGTAAGTAGTGGTTCATGGCAGCTTTTGGATTCTGGAGTAGATGTTTTGGAATTGAATCTGGTCATTCCAAGTGAGAGATGGGATGGTGTGTCATGATGGAGGTCTGCAGCCACCTTGCTCGTGCCCTCACACGAAACTTATCTGACCCTCCTTACGCCCTCCTTGCAGTGGCTCTGCACTGCAGCGCTCTGGTGAACACCCCATCCAAAAACTATGGCCATAAGGCTCCAGAAAACCAAACACCTAAAATTCCATGTTCACCAAATCATTTTTGGGACTTTAAACATTGTAAGAACCCTCACTCATGGCCAGTCTCAGAAAGTCCCGAAGCTAGACCATCCCCTTCGAACAAAAAGGATCTGACCAGCAATTGAGTTCTCCAAGCCTGTTCGAAAACCTACGCCTGCAACGCCTGTGTGACGGAAACACTACCTAGCACTTCCAACCCATTAAGTCATGTAATTATAGGGTTGTTCACTGGTGACCCCTTGGAAGCACCTGGTAGGAATTCCTATCAACACATCCCGACCCCCCTTTGAGTTCACGTGCCAAGCATCAACTTCGAGAGCCCCGAGACCAATTCAAAGGCAAAGCCCTGCGCGAAGGAGGGCACCGCAGCCAAGACCTACGGCATCTTCCAGTGGCAACCCGGTCCGAGCTAATGAACAGGGAAATCGTGACCATTCTGAATTGATCTCCGTCGTCCAACGAGTCTTACCCAGACCATGGAATAGTGGCCTAGAGGGGGTGGAGTTCTGGTCATACAATCACCCACCTGGTTCATCCAGTCCTTTCTGCACGTTTTTGCTGCTGATTGGACCATCACTCCCAGGCGTAGCGTGGCAACGAATTTCTGTAAGGTTCGGGAAATCGATTGATATAGACCAGTCACAGTCTATACCCATTGTAGGGCTCCAAGTACCTCCTCAGAAGGTATTTGGACCCTCTAAACCCTTCCAAAACACCTTCTAAGAAGGTACATGGAGCCCCAGGTTTGTGAAAATGCACATCCTTCTGTCCACCAGTGTATAAGGGGGGTGCGGGTGCATTGTCTGGTGCAAATAAATCCGAGACCATGACATGATCCAGCTGCTGCATGAAGGAAGCCAAAGAAAGATCTTGTTTACACAATCTTACATTTATCATTTTGTCGAAACCAAAACTGTGGAGATGGATCAAATCAAATCGAAGAAACATTGGAACACATGGAGCTCAAACTGTCTCACTGACGCTTCCTGGAGATCCTTCCATTTCTTTTCCTGCAGGCTCCTCTTCCTCCAGTGTTTGAAGGTAAGATTCATGCTATAGCTGATTGCAGGTGGTCAGCTTCCCTCGCTTCGGCTATATGGATCCACATGTACCTTCGTGTTGAAGGTATGCGGATCCAGTGGGGATATGAATATGATATGGATACCCAAACACTCCATGTATGCCATATGGCCTACATTAGATTACATTAATTATATAATTAGGGTGGTTTTGGGGGTCAATGTAGGCCTGCTCCAAACATGATTCATTCCAACATCTCCCAATCAGAACAGGGCCGTGAACCGACGTGCATTTGAGACCGCTCGTGTTGAGATCCCTTCACATCCACCAAACCCCAAAACCCCACCACACCCAAATCGCCCAAAAAGACCACACCCAGACACTCCATGAGACTGCCATATATGCCTACATTAGGGTGGTTTGGGGGGGTTCAATTGATCGGCATCTATGGCAGTCCCAAACACTTCGTGTCTGGGACACGTGTTTTGGTCCGCGCCTTGCCGCTCACAGGGTACAGGAACTCCGGCGACATGCAGTCTCGCGTGCCGGTGCGCTCATTGTACTCGCCTCAGTCCAACCGAGAAGAGATTCCGCCGGCGCGCGGGGGAAGGCTGGACCGTGCCCTGGAAGCAGTCAACCGGTCGAGGTTTACAAGTAGTTGCAGTTGGAGGGTTGGTAACCCAAAACAAACTGGTCTAAAGACCACATCCTTTGGAACTCCAGTTGATTTCAACTGCATTTCTACTGTTGCACCATTTTGGGCTGGAAAACTCTGATGCCCATCCACCGCCAATTGGACGTTCTGGCTGAAATCGCAGCATTTCCAGAAAACATCATCTGATAGTTCAGACAGTCCCTCTACTGTTGCACCTGTTCTTTCACTGCCAACATCTGAGCCGTTCTTTAAAGTTGCAAGAACGACACCACAAGTGGTCAAAACGCGCCACATTAGTTCGGCACCTGATTTGGCACTTCTGTGGCTTGCCTGTGTTGGATCCAAATCCGCCGGGTTTTGCACACCAGGGACCGATCCAGGAACGACACCTCTTCGGTTCGGATCGACATGCCCTGCTGTTCGGAAGCACTGAGAACGATCCCTCTCCCCTGCGAAAAAGGAGAGTGCCCCTAACCCATGCACTTCCGAATCCATCAGGACAAATATGGAAAAACAACTCACTAGTTTGTTGACTGGAAGTGTTCGGGGTTTCTCGTCCGAAAGCCACCAGAGGTACCCAGCAGGTAGTGTACTGTACCCTCGCTCGCTCCGGTGCGCGAGCGATGGTACGGCGGGTGAACCAAAAAACCACGTCTCGGTGCCAAGTGGCGACAACCGCCCCACTCAAAGGTGGTCCATAATTGGAGCCAGAAGAAGCCCAGGAAGAAACACCAAATGAACCTTCTGGAGCGTCAGTGGAGCGTCGAGCGTGGACGACCAGCAACAAAAAGCGCCTACACTTCGGCGTTCTGCCATTCGACAACTGGAAAAATTGCTCCTATAGCTATAGGTGGTTCTTGGACTACGAGTACTTGCTGGCCCGGCCCAGTGTGGAATTCGTGGGATAACATGATGAAAGCGCGAAGTAGCCTGGACCTGGTAGAGGGGTTTGCTGAGAAAATGATCGGATCGAAAACAGCCAACTCTCGGCGTGACACTGAGAGCTGTCTAGCTATGATTCCAGTGAACCCAAACACTCAACAACAAAAACGAAAGAACAAAAGCTATAGAAGAGGTGTCCCAAAACAAAACAGGAAGACCCCTCTTCTTCATTAAGGCTTTTTATTGGGCAATTTGTGGAATTGAACCTCTCTGACCTGAAAGAACGGCATACGGCTAAAAGGACATGACTCGGGTGGATGTAAAGACAGGTTTCAAGGGGAATGAGTTTGATAAAGGCTATCCACGCTAAACGAACAATCTGGATCACCCAACAGGCAACATCGATGAGATGACAAATGCAACATTAATATAACAACAACAGCAGCAGCAACAACAACAACAGCAACAACAACAGCAGCAACAGCAAAACAACAAAAGCAAAACAGCGCAGCTTAGTCGTAAACATTGTCAGTACAATGATATGCACAAGTTTGCAAGCATGGCCCTTTGGTAGTGAATCATTCTGACATGGGCCGGTCATTGAGTTGAAAGCCTATGCATTTCATGAGACAACATTATGACAAGTCACTTCTAAGTCAATACGGAGTCCTACGTGTAAAAGGAACTTGTTTGTGGAGTGAACTTGAACATTCATGTATGTATATAGATACGCTGAATTGGCCAGGATGAGCCTCTGCTTTCGCCACAAAAGACAAACAAAAAGGAAGAACCCACCTCGGTGAACGATTCCGGATGTGCTCCAACAGAAGAAACGCCCCAATCCCTCCAGCAAATCCCTCCAGCCAAGTGACAGCCATTCAAAAAGAAGAATTGGACCCTCGGTTTTTGGGACACCAAAACCCTCGGTGCCCTGGACACCATGATCTTTCTAGGACGCCCGAACATGGATTAGGTGGATGGCGGTTTCCTGGAGAATGGCATTCGGATGGAGAATGGTCTTCCGAACTCGGGATCATGCCATCTACTTTCATGTTAGTTCCAGGGGGTCTACACACTCACACATTGGTTGAACATGGGTCCATGTAGGAATGGAGTTAAACACCTATAAGGTCACTTAACCTCTCTTGGTTGACGCCTTCAAATATCTCTGCTATTTAAATACGCTTCGATCGCTGAACACCAAGAATCTTCATCAAGGGCAGGCCCTGCCTGAAAAAGACTGAGTAGATGCTGAAATGCTAACGACTTTGATTCAGTTTGAGGTTTCTAACTGTACTTGTTCTTGACAAGCCTTTCCCTTTCACGTTTGGAATGGAACCAATGGGGTATGCCAGCATACCGGTAGCCTCAGCAGGCCCATCACTTCCACCTTGCACGCGCCGGTGCCTGCGTGCTTCATTTCGCCACGGTCTCCCAGTGGATCTGTCGGAGTCCTCACTCTTCTCCACTCTCCGGAGTCTCTGGACTTCTCCATTGTGACCTCAACGGTCTTCGCACGGACTAGTCCTCAGCGTTTGCGCTTGAGTCACCTCTGCCGACGTCCGTCTCCTGGCTCCCCCTGCTGCTCCGCCAACGAAGACCAAGCCGCAAGGCTGCTGCTCCTGCTCCAGCTTCATCCTCTCCTCAGCCCTTGTGCTCAGACTCCACATGGTCGTGCATTTGCACTCATGCTCACTCCACATCAGGTTCTGGGCGCCACGTTCCAGCAGCTAATTTAACGACGGAGTCCGACTTGTGCTGTGACTGGAACCATTCCGTGATCAAAGCACCAGTCACCTGTCATTTCTAGCTGTTTTAGTTCGCACTGCGCAGCAGCAACGCCAGCTGCAGTGGACATATCTTTCTCTGCTGAGGGGTAAGCCACCTCGTACAAGGGCAAGCCAGTTCCAATCAAAACATATTTACAGTAAAGCAATATTGAGGAATGTGTTTTGCGTGTTTTGTAGGGCTTTGCTTGCCTCAAGGGTTTGCAGTCCTGTTTTAAAGTGCTTGAAAACCACCCTGCACTGGACAAGGGCACGCCGCTATGAATGAATCAAACATGCTTCTATTGAGGTGACAAGCCACCTCCGATTAACCTTTTTGCAAGGGCAAGCCACTTGCTTTGCCTCAACAAAGGCACCTCAGGGTTTCACAGTACACAGTGCAATACGTTTCTCAATCATCTTTAGGCTCAAAGCTTTCTGGACTTTTTTCAGGTCCTACACATCTGTGGCTGTTTCGGCTGATGGAAATTGCAGGGGTAAAAACTCGCTCAAAACTGATGGAAATTACTGGGGGTACCAGGGGCAAGCCACCTCTGATTGATCTATGGAATGAGGGGCAAGCCATCTCTATATTACTTTTTGCACATTGATGTATATATATATATATATTCCCAAAAATTTCCCAAACAATTACATCCACAAAATCTGACACATAGGAATCCTGGCCAACCATTTTGATTTAATGCAATTTACATCTTTTTACCACGCCAATCGTTGCTTTACTGCGGGTTTGAGACTACAACGCCAGGTCGACCGTCTTTCTTGGTCTTTGACAAGGGATATCACCCAACAAATAGGGGGAGAGGGCATTCTTGGGATTTCCAGTGAACATGTTGCTGAATACATTCAATGTAACCCATTTGAGAGTTCTCTAATGGCCCTTCCAAAGAAAAGACAACCGGCCCTTCCCACCGTGTAATATCCACTGTTTCGCCAGGGAGCGCAACAGAGCTCGAAGCGCACGTTCCGTCGCAGGCACGCCAGGAACTTGGACTCCTGCCACCTGCAGGCGGCTAGAAGACACGACGTCCTTGGAAACAGGGCCTTGGCCGAACATCATCCGTAATCATATTATTGCTATATGTAGCTCAATTCTGTAAGGTTGAAGGTCAATGCAACTCTCTTATTCTGTTGAATCATGTTGAATATGATTCTTTAAGGTTCAGGGTAAATGGTGCAAAAGTTTCAGGGAAGGTGACCAAAAGCAATGCATCTATCCAAAGTCTGGCTGCTACACTGATACATGCGACCACAGGATCTGTCACTGGGCTCCAAAAGTGCCCCCCCATTCCAGAAACCAAAAATAAGCATTTGACCTGGTCGATGTTGGCAGATGCTCCAGCCTGAAACCCAAATCACGACTTCCAGATTCAGTCAAGCATCATTGAGCCTCTCTTGTCTCATGACGAAGCGTACTGTAATTAACCAGCATCTGCTACTAAGCCGCTAGCGGTCCAGCGGTAGGAAAAAATAAACTCAAGTGGGTCTGGGTGTTTATCAGTGCTTAAATGAATCCATCCTACCACAAATTAAAGTCCAAATATCCATGGATGATTCCAGGACCTTCCATTCGTGACCTCTTGAGGATTGGTATATGTGACATCATGGCAGTTTGGTCGTGACCGACCCCCGCCGGATCTCATTTGGACGGTCACTGGGAAGGTCCTGGTTAATGGATGTTTATCAGTGAATCTTCCTATCCCAGACGCTCCAGTCGTACCTCCTCAGAAGGTAATTGGACCCTCTAAACCCACCCCAAACACCTTCTTAGAAGGTATTTGGAGCCCTAGGGTATCTTAATCCTACCATCCAGGCACCTCATCCCCCATGGACCCGGCACCCCGCCGGAACCCGCGACTCCGGGTGTCCCAGCCGTCGCTTTGAGCTCGTCCTGCGGCCGTGATCCGAGTCCTTTCAAATCAGAAGGGGCTATGGAACACTACTTTTAACATGTAAATTGTCTGTAATGTTTGACTGTCATGTTTGACTGTCTGTCTTGTCTTTAACATTACTTCAGTCATGGTTGACTTGTTACATTGAGATTTACATGATTCCTTTTTCTTTGACATGTAAAAAAGTAAATGCATTATACTCAGGGATCAGTTTCTTACATGTAAAAAGTCTTTCGTACTTGATTCATTAAACACAGACCCAGAACAGCGCCAGGTGCGCTTTCCTTACGCCGAGCTTCACGCCTTCCCTCACATGGGCACGTCACGTCGTGCTTCGTCGGTACCGCACCTCGCATGGAAGGATTGCTCGCTGCTGACCTCGCTAGTGACTTCTTCGGACCTGAGGGGGCGGGAGGCACCGCTTGGCACCGATTGGCTTTCTATTGCCTCAGGGAGGCAAAGACGGTGACCGCGATGTCTCTTCCCAGACACTCCATGGGACTGCCATATATGCCGATCAGTTGGGGTGGTTTTGGGGGTCAATGTAGGCATATATGGCATACATGGAGTGTCTGGGTATGGTATGTTGTCTCTTGGTATGTTGTTGTTCATGTTGTTGTCGTTGATGTTGTTAGTTGTGGTCCTTAGTTGGCGAAATGCTGGGCAAATCTGGACAAACATGAGCACCGAACACTTCACCCAGGGCCTCTTTGGTCGTTTGTGTGATTCAAAAGGTGACCAGTTATATGTGTTTAATATTGTTTAAATGTGCCAGGACCTTCAAAGTGACCTCTTTGGAGTCTGTAAGTGACCTCTTCGGGGACTAAGTGACCTCATTCTGGGATCTCAAAAGGTCACTTTGAAGGTCCTGGTGTTGAATGTTTATGTTCATGTTATGCTTCCCTCAATCTTTATACTCAATTCCAAGGTTGGAAGGCACTTGGTTTGTATGCATATGTTTCATATGTTTTGTATGTACAGTGAATCAGTGTGAATCCTTACAGCTCCACGATCATGGTAACTCAGGAATCACTGCTCGTATATCTACCATCTGCAGGATTCATCAGGCGTAGTGACAGGTAAAGGAGGTGTGACCCCGCCTTGTAGCTGGCGTTTCCCCGCTGCTTTGAGTATGAGTCAAGTTGCATCTATTGAATCTATTGGATGGTTACAATCCCGAACCATCCATGCGACTGGAATATGATATGCCGATGAATTGACCCCATTTTTAACAACCCCCCTGGCTGCCTCTCGGCAAATATGCCAGTCCCAAACAGGTCGTGTCTGGGAATTGTTGTTCTCGTGTCTGAGCATCAGCTTCGTGCAGAAAGTGGCAGGATGCTCTACACCAACCTCTGTCCCCGGCGAAAGAGAGTGTCATGAAAAAAGGGATGTCAATGGTGAACAAGATTTCACCAAAACGGAAGACCCATTCTGGATCTTCTGCAAAAACATGACTGTGGGTTAAAACCGGGTCACCCTGGTTTAAAATCGGGTCAAATGAACCGATTCCTCTACAGTATCTAAGGGTTGTTGCCACGGTGCCCGGCGAGGCACCTTTTTCTTCAACCAACGAAAGCCGACCGGTGGAAGGGATCCCAGGCCCAGGCAGCCTGAGGCTTCTCATCGGCTGCCAATGTTCTTGGAGCTTCGCCATGACCTGGGTCGACCGCAAAGGAGAGCGGAGCAACGAGATGATCTGTCCCACCCTCCGGTCTCCGAAACGGAGGGTTATGGTCCGACCCTAAAACTGTTCGAACAAACAGGTCGAACAAACAGGTGACCAGGGTGCTGGTCAGAGTGTACTGTCTTGATATGGATACTGTGCAGTACTCCTGTATCATTCAGGTTGCCTGAGCCATGTCTGCTGGCGGTTCCCACAGCACAATTGGCCTGAAACTAGTGGGCATCCTTCCCCATGAGGTTCAACGAGGCAAAACCAGCCCCCGTCTACAAACACAATTCTTTTGACTGCTTGGCCCTCAAACAAATGGCCCAGGTCAACATGAGCATTCCCACCCAGAAATCTGGACAATCTGGACCTCTGATCTCAGAAAGTGACACTTGGATGTGTCAGTTTCTTGTTCCAGTCAGCGATGTGGAGTGCAACTTCCCAACAGAAGCAGAAGCTGTTTCACCTGGTCACACTGTCAAGCTTCGGTATCCTGAACCCAACGCCAAAGCCAGTCTTCGTACTTCGCCAATTGGTCTTTCCACTCCGACTCCAACACCACTAGATGTGTCTCTTGAGTATTGTATTGATGTCTATAGGGAGATTTGCTCAGCAATGGATTTGGATCTAGTTTCCTTCTTCCAGGGTGGTCTTTGGGAGGTCATCCTGTTTGCATACACAACCAGCAAAACAGCTGGTGAATGCCCCAAGTGTCAACCCTCTAGTGCGAGACCAACGCCAAGGTTCCAGCCGGATAAGCCGTTCGGTCTTCTAGCCGCCATGTCGTCTGCGCTGAAGACTCATCGGAAGGTCAGGAATATACTGTTTCACAAAGGAATCGAGTAGATTCAATCGCTGCAAGGACCTCAAAACTGTGGTGCCCCCACGCAATTTCACCCTCAGCCATGTCATTTACTTTCAACAGCAGCTCTCACTAGCTGGGTGACCCCTGCTGCCTCTTGGCTTTCGATGGTCAGGATGCACCTGACCATCCGTCGCACGATGCTGCATTAAACCTGATACAGTATATACAGTATATAAATCTTCTGCATTCAGGTTGCAACATTCCATCAACTACCTGATATTACCATTTCATGAAATACCACAATCCATTCCATTCAATTTAATACCTCATAAATCGGATGAGATTGCAAATTCTTCAGGATATGCATGTAAATAGGCAAACTGAACCGGCAAAAACGCTCGATAAGTGAAGGAGAATGCAAGTATAGCCAGCTTTCCCCGCGAGACCAACGCGAAGGCCCCAACCACGTGATGAGGAAGAAGGTGGCAGTCGGCATGAAGCTTTGGTACGTCGTCTCATCACTCCACTTGATGGCCGTGAAAATGACGGACGCCAACCTCGGAGGACTTCGGATGAGTGATGATGAGCTGTGGACACGAGGACTGATGGAGAAAACCATTTGACAATTTGAATGTTCTGAACGAAGCACACATGATATGCCTGTAATGGGGTTTAGCTATAAAAAAAAAAAAACACACAGAAACACATTGATAAGATTTCAATCTCCAGATAGGATTTCAATGGCGTTCGGCGTTAAGCCACACTTTTTGGATTAAGAGACAAACAAAAAATTGCCTAATTGCTCTCAGGCTGAGTGGCGCGATGCCCACCAAGCACACCAATTGAGAGACCTGGCGCGGTTCAAGATCCGGCCCTCAATACAGATCTGCCTTCTTGTGGATTCACTGTTCTAATGTGGTCAAATGTTTATCTGGAGAACACTCGAAGAGTATAGGAAACCGGCAAAAATGGGCCACGAGCGATCAGAAACTGAGCCAGGACTTCGTCAGAGTACAATTCCATTGCACAAATACTGATCTGCATGCAAATACAGTTACGTTACACCATCCGTTCTTCACTCTCCCATCTTCCCCAAAGCAACATCCATCGAACCCTTCTTCCCATCTGTTGGACCGCCACCGCTGCTCCGCGGACCGGCTCGGCTCCGCTCGGCTCCCCGGACGTGCCAGGCGAAGGACCAGGCCACGGCCTCGCCGAAGATCGCATAGAGCTGATCCTCGGTGCTACCCACAGCGGAGACCCGGTGCCATGCGGGTAGGAGGGGCTCGTCCTTGGTCGTGGGAACCAAAAGGGTCTTCTGAAAGGACCTGGGAAGAATCTCTTTAAACCCGGCAAAGTTGGACATGGAACCTGATGGCATGGACCGGAACTACGTACTCCTCTATACAAACCAGTGGTTTTCAGGTTCCATGTGGACCTCTTCCAGAGTGTAAACCGTCCGTGCAGGATCCCCCGAAAGGGCTCCAGGAAAGCTCCAGGTCGGTCGTCGCACCCCGACCACGAGTAGCCACTCGTAGCCCGCTTTCCACTCGTGATACAGGCGGTTAGGCGGTTTTCAAACCGGAAGGTGCCCCCGGTGCATAGCCTGTGAGATCGAATTAGGTACCTTATGGCACCTTTGGAACTTGTTAATGACAATTTCTTGGCTTCAGGAGACTTTTTTTTCGATGTGGCACACAACAGCACACATGCTGACATCCAAATGGCTAGACCATAACTTACATGAACTTACACAATTTCAATAACATGTTTACACTGCAATATTCTTTGTTTATACTACAGTATGTACCACAATTTTGTTACATCAAGGGAAAGCTCTAGCAGCAAATCCTCTTTACGCCTGTCAACCATCCTGGATGTTTATTAAGGGCATCAGAATCCAGCCATGGCCTCACCAGCCCAGCAAGAAAAACAAAACTTAAAGCACGCATCTCATCTACTCAAACACCACCTATAGTATCTATCTACTATACAAATATACTAGTATCATCTAGTATCATTTAACAATTGAGTTTCCCGGTGCTTCTTTGCACCACCAGTCTCCACCCGGGTCACACCCTTTCTGGCCAAGCGTTTTCACCCAAATGGGGTGACCTTGATGGACCCTGAGTGCCTGGCCAGGAACGGAAGGCGCCCTGCGGTCTGCAGCCTCCGAGTCCAACGGTCCAACGGTCCACTCCGGACACCGACGACGCGGAGAATGCTGCGTCGTCCAGACATTCCGCGATCCGTATAGGCCGGGTATCCAAAGGTCCCATATGAATGCGGTCGTTTGGGTGACCTTCCGCTGTAAGAAAGAGCATCTGGTCTGAAGATCTAGGAAGTAATTAAGTAGTGCATGTGCTAGGTCCCAGGTCGTCCAGCCAGGACACCCCAAACAGCGCGAATGTCCTGCTGGTTTCTTCATAAGAAAATACATCACCTACCGGGTCTTGACCAGATCAAACACTGGTCCACTGCTTCCAATGGTGGTAAGCAGGCAAAACCGGGTCAAGCATGTAGTCTACCAAAGGAAGCACTTGCCTTGATTTCAGACATGTATGTATAACATTACATGTTATATATAGTATATGTGTATGTTATAAACTATTTATACACGTATACATCCCTGTGTTGCCACTAGTTTGTGAACAAATAGACCTTTACTCAATGTCCGTTTGTCAAGGTCCTTGGTTTTGGAGGACCGAATAATCCGAACTCCTGCTGACCATGATGAGACGGACTCAATCCGACGAAGTGCTGATTTTGCACTGTAAGCTACTTGCCTGACGCTGATGGTTCGCAGCTCTACACCACTACTAATTACACTCCCAAAAAAGAATAGACATGGACTCTGCAGACCATCAGAAGGATTGACAGTCATCTGGTGTGCTTCCACCAAACAGTCATTTCTGGAAGTATCCGATGACCTCCTCTGACCTCTCCCATCGCATCCAAGCGGCCACACGAGCCTCCTGGCGTCAGTCGATCGATGGCAGGGGTCGATCGAAAGATCGAGACGAAACTTGTTCCACATCTCCACAATTCCTCTGTGAAACTCGGAAAAAGAAAAAACACATGAAATACACATTCACGTTCGACACACAAGGTATATGTGCCTACTACTTGACCCCTTCTCCAACACCCCCATGTATGTATAGGCCATTGGTTGATGTGTCTGGGCATTGGTTCCCGATTTGGCACTCCGAACATCACATCGCTATGGGATGTTCCGGTGTCTTTCCATGTAGCATCATCTAGCCACAGCCATCTTGCTTGGGGTGGTGATATGCACTTGAAGTGCACAACAACGCGTGGTTTCCTGCGTTCATCAAGAGATTGGCTGGGTGAAACCGCGAGTCCTTCATAGCTTGAACAAGGTGCCCATGGCTGGTTGCAGCCAAGTAACTGTGGAAAGCTATGGCGCAGCAAACCCAATATCCTCGGACCAAAACCAAAGACATGCAAAAAGAAATCACCCGCAGAATCCCTTGTGAGGCAACCCTGACAGAACCCTCCATCCAAATATCGGTCATGGTACACTACGAAGAAACAATGCATTACCTGGCTATGTATATAAATTCCTCTTTGAACCAAGCTTCTTGTATCCATTTCAAGTAAGGAAGGCGACCAAAGGGGCGTTTGGGGATCCGGCTCCGTGCTCCCTGGAGCCCCGTTGGAGCCCCGTTGGGGCTCCGTTGGGGCTTCGGCGAGGGTCAGAAGGGTCGAGTGGACCTGCCCGAACGGGAAGCGACGACTCTCTCTCTCTCTCTCAATTGCGCGGCAAAATAAAGGGTTCTTATGCAATTCTGTCAAGACTTCATCGTTGATCAATATACGTTTTGGCATCAACTTACTTGAACCAAACGTTCCACCAGATTTGAGTGGGGACACTCCCCAAATCTCCCAATTCCAGGTGAACGCCTACAGGTCCTTCCGGTCAATCCCCAGTCCGCTGGCAGCGACTGGTCCAGATCAGCCGACAAAGCACTTCGGGGTCCGCAGCGCATGCAGGACGAGCTCGGTACGACGAGCACCTGCAAGACCAGTTCGGTCATTGTATGGTCTCCCCATGAAGCAAGAAGAACAGCAAGTCATACCAAGTCAAAACAATCATGCATGGTACGGTTGCATGTCCTTGTTGTCGTTGTCGTTGTCGTCGTGGTGGTGGTTGTTGTTGTTGTTCTTTTTGGTTTTTGTTGTATACTGTCAATAAGCATGATAGATGTGGGGTTGATATATATATATATATGTAATCGGTATATGTAGATTATTGTATATTCCATCTTGGTTCAACATCTCTCTCTTACAGAGTTGTAGAATCAATTGATCGCACAGTCTGGTGATGTAGGACCTGTGGTCTCAAACAGTACTGCTGACAGAAAAAACATTGCATCCAACTGAAATGCTGGGACATACCCCACAAATACATACAGTTTGTTCCCCACCTGTCAGGTGAGGGTCGTTAGATATTACGTCAGCCCCATCTCCTTCTCCTTCTCCTCCGCCTCCTCCGCGGGACCTCAACACGACCATCCACGCCCAGTGTTCCCTGCCGGAGCTCAAACACGACCATCCACGCCCAGTGTTCCCTGCCGGACCTCAACCACGACC